AGAAAATAATTTAATAATTATGATTAAGAAATAAATTCAATAGAAAACTGATCGCTCGACTTCACACTACTCTTCCTCTCATTTTTATACTCTTTTCAAACTTGTTTTTTACAACAAATTTTAATTATTAATTATTTAATTAATAAATTTATATATAATTTAGTAATTTTATTGTTCCGACACTTTTAGTTCAATATTTAAAAAAACAAATAAAAGAGAAAGAGATTATAAACTGAGAAACGAATTATAAACATATTTATCTATTTTTAATAGTGTAATCTATTAATAATGTAATTGTATTTGAAATCTAAATATCGATATATCTTTTCATAGATTATTATACAATACAAAGTAATTTAAATATAATTTATATAAACAATAGCTTAATGTGTGACTTATAATATTAAATGTAATAATACTATGCATTACATCAAAAATTATTTTTTATAAATTAATTAATTAATTGAAATAAAAATTATATAACAAAAAATTAGTATTGTTTGCCACACAAAACAAACGATTGCATTGTTTTGCATAAAAAACAACAACACATATACAGACAGTGTGTGTCTACACACTCTTGTGGTGACAGACAGTTGGTCTCACTTCTTGGCCAAAGCCATACCGATGCCGATGAGTCCGCCGATGGCAACGGCCGCACCGCCGACCATAGCCATGCCTTTAAGGCCGTCTTTGGTCAGTTTGTCCCTGATCAATTTGTCCAACTCCTGTGCCTGTCTGTTCTCCGGCTCCACACTCAGGAACTTCTTGATACAGTCCCGCGCTCTTTGGTATTCCTGTCAATACAAACACATCAACATTAGTTCACATCATATTACATATCATTCAATACTTTTGGGTAATTATATGAATCATATAATATGATTATACTCTCATTTAACAGGATTTACAGCAAAAGGTATAGTAAAAAGTGATTATCGGACACATTATGTCTGCTCCAATCACACGCTTCGATCGGTTATGTAGTCCACACTTCACCTAAAGGTAGTGTCACTTGACTCGCGAGTGGACAACATTTGATCAAAGCGTGTAATTGAGAACATAAACAAAGTGATCATCAATAATGACATTAACTCTATGTTAGTATTCAATACATTGTGTCTGGGATTCAATGACTCGGCCGTCGAGTGACAGCAATCCTAAGGGCAAGACTACTGACACAAATGGCAGCACTCAATGGCCACTCGTATTGAGTACGTGTGGGAGCGAGTGGTGGATCGGGAGGAAGGAATTGAGGCATACTTTGATCTTAGTGTTAGCCAACGCCAAGTAATAGAGATAATCTCTTCGTGCGTTGGGATCTCCTGTGGAGCACAAGTCCTCAAACTCGTTGACACCGCGAAGAATATCAGTGGTATATCGGCTCCGGATTAGTGCCAACGCGTACTCGAAACGGGTCTGAGAGCTGACCACA